AAAGGATATGTTGTTTTTCCTTGTATGTTTGAACTGGTTCACTTTTTTCAAGAAAATTACCAAAAAAGGAAATTTTTGAAAAAAATGAGAATCAGCAGAAAGAGTTTTTTTTATTATCTTAAAGCAGTTTATTTAAAAACAAGTAACTATTTAAAAAAGACATTTTTAAAAATAGTACATAAACAACTCTTAACTTTGAAAAAATAAAGAATTTTTTGCAATATATAAAAAAAGATCAATAAAAAAGAAAGAGAAAACTTTATTTTAATTTTTATATAAGTAGAAAAATAGAAAAACTTTTACTTATCATTAAAAAAAAATTCTTCAAATATAAAGTAGAGAGAGAAAACAAAATTATAATTATTTCATTAATTGATCTAAATTATAGTTATATATATCAAGAAATTAAAACTATTCTTTAAAAATATAAAGATGTATTGAGTAGTTATATTTATAATTATCACTATTTCTAAAAAAGAATCAAGGCATAATTTATTTCAAATCAACTTGAAAACTTAAACAATAAATAGTTTATTCATATCAAAATAGATATTTTTAGTACATGAAAAGAAAATCAAAATCAAAAATAAACAAGTTTTTTAAATAATTAAAAAATATATTTTTTTTAATTGGTTAAATTTTATTGAAAAAAAATCTTAAAACATAAGTTTTTGAAAAAATTTAAACTTTATTTTTTTATAATATATTGTATTTGTTCATTTTTTAAATTTTTAATTTTTTAAATTCATCTCTTATATATTTTAGTCATTTAATAGAATAATTAATAGTAAAACTTGCTGATAATAATATATAATTTAGAAGATTCTTATTTAAGACTATTATAAAATAATAAATTATTTTCAAGATCAAACTTAGAGGCTTTATGCCTATATATAATTTAATTGTAATATGTATTATATTGCTTGAATAAATATATATATTTGTATTTTTTTGATTAATAAATTTAAAATTAAACATAATTATAAATTATTTATAAAAAAAAAAAAGGTCATAGTAATTTGATATCGAATTTAAAAAAAAAATTATGTTAATAAAATATCAATTAATAATTTTTTTAAAATAATTTAATAATATAAATTAGATAAAATAATTTTATTTTTTAGTAAAATAATAATTTAAAATATACTATTAACAAAATTATTATTATTATTATACTAGCTGAGCTAAGATTTTATTGAGAAATTCTTACATAAGGTGAAGGAAACAAGGTTTCTCTAGAACATACATAAGAAACATTTGAACAAACAAAGTATTACAATAGAAGAACTCCTTTACAGAGACTTTACCTTGTGGTATACTATTAACAAAATAGTTTTTTATTTGAATAATTATTAATCATGTCAAGTGGTACAAAACATTTGATCATCGCCACTGTATAAAAATCTTGAAAATTATGAAAGTGACACCATCATTATCTCGCATTTCCATAACTTTGTTAAATTAGATGATTATTTTAATCATTAATTGATTCTATTATATTATATAATATAGCATTTATAAGTTCCACATAAAATATACTGTATATAGCTTTAATACTTAAAACATACTTTTAAAGTTTTAATCGCATGCGTAATTGCAGTGAAAATTGTAACTTTAGAAAATAATTTGTAGAATACATTACTATTTTGTAATCATTGCGCCATGCTACCTGCATAAATAGGATTACTATATAGAATAAAATTTCAATCTTCCTGAAACCCTTTTAGAATATATTATACAATAATAAATCGTTTTGACTAATTAAAAGTTTATCCACAGTTCTCACAAATGCACGTTTATTTTGAAATTTTAATGATTAAATAAATAACAATGCTAATAAAAATAAAAACATGAACCCCACATGTCGTGCGATCTTTTCATAAATTAAGTCTAAACTTCAAAAAGCTCTTCAACAAAATACCTTATGACATCCTTACCCCCCTGATGGAGTCGATTTCGACACACTATTGATGCGTGGGGGTGAACACAATCCATCAATAAACAATATTTTTGCCAATTCAGTGTGTTCAAATATTGTAAGCTTTTGCTTTGAGATTGTGTCATAGGAATCTTGTGGAATTCCGTAGAAGTAACATAATTCGAGAGGTTAATTACATCTTTTGAGTAGGAATCGTTTTGTGAAAGACTTGAAGACTTGTTTAATTGAGAGTCAACGCGATTAGTTAGATTAATCACGCCTTCAATGACTTCTTCTTCAAGGTTAGAAAATTCTTTGGTGATTCCTGAAACAATTCCATTGCCATCTTCATCAGCACTCAAATCCAATTTTTCACCATTCGTCTCTTTAATCGCCTTAACTCTTTTCCTAGAGATCATTCCTTGTGTGGCAACAGTTCCCAAAATCAACAGCCCACCGACCGGTACCAAAATTGGGATGGCCACAGAGAGAAGCATATACCGAGGGAGTCTCTTGGAGAATGAGGTACGGCTAGTCGCTTGATAGGACGCCGAGGTTTCAAGATGCTCTGTGGACGACCCATCTGTTTTAGAGGAGCTACCGTCGACTGACTTGGAAAGGGTGATGGAGTCTATGATGTCTTGACATTGTTTATTTGGATATCTAAAGTGACATCATGTTCGAAAGGATTAGAATCACATTTATGTGCAAGGAGATTTATGCGAATACTTACATAATCAGGTCATTAATTCTCTCGAACGGATCAACCTCCGTGATGGCGGCTGTCCAGTAAGGAACCGATTTGTCGTTTATTGCGTTGGCAAACACTCGTAATGACTTGAACTTCGTGAGTGCCTTATAGAATATTTTATCTATAATACGCATGGAATATATTTAATTAGAGGTGCGGTGGTGGAGTAAGAAGAAAAGCGAGGTGAGTTAAATTTTACTCTATACCAGGTCTGGATAAAGTAAGCAGAAGTGGTTCGTTTTCGCCTTCGAAGTTATCAATGTAATGCAACTGTTCGCCTTTTTTATTTTATAAAAAAAATAATAATAATAAAGGTGTTGAAAAGTAAATAAGAGCTGGATGATAGAGTGTTCGTTCTGAAAATACAATTTCATTTTCACTAGTTTACTACCGGAACTAGAGAGTAAGTTCGAAGAAGCCCAACTCATAAATTTCGCGAATGATCCATCCTCATCACGTCTTATACCCAAATGTGGCGTAGCGAAGGTGGTAAACGACTAGTCGAGTAAAAATTGATTTTTCCAAGTGAGGTAACGTCGTCGAATTGATGATGCACATTCAAGTATTTTTAAAGAAAATTATTTCAAAAAAAAAAAAAAAAAAAAAAAAGTGAGTACCATTTTCACATTTCAAGCGCAAGCCAATTAAAATATCTACCATTGGTGTGATCTCGTCAAACAGTCCACGTTTATAAAGAATTCCCACGACATATCTTGCCATCAGCCCACCCAACGAGTATCCGACAATCGAGATCTTGGTAATTTTTTTACTAGCAGTTTCTTCTGAATTGGTGTGCTCCTTTTCGAATGAATCGAATCTTTCATAGATCTTTTTCGTGAAACCAATGTTAACTAATAAAATTTAGAATAAAGAAAAATGCATGACATATAATGATGAAAGCATACTTCATCTATAATTCTATTTCCGCAAACATCCACACCATCATACGTATATGCCGAGGCATTGCATTTAATGTTTAGCTATTAATATTAAATTGACAAAGGAATTGTATGAATCCTCAAGTAAAAATGGAAGTCGAGACTTGAATGCGAAAAAAAAGAAAGATACGCACGATTTCGATATTTTCACCGTGTTTTTCGACAAATCTTTCTTCTAAATATTGTAGATGTCCTGGGTTTCCCCATAACCTAAATTATATATGTGCGCATATATGTTGTATAATGTTTAGGCACTTGTTCCGATGTGATGAGAGGAAGTCACTACGTAAATTTTTACCCATGAATTAAAACGACAAAATGAATTGCTTTAATTGCGTTATTTTCAGGTGATAATGCCATCCTTGAAAAAGTTCTTGTTTATGTTATCCAATTTTTCTTATCTATAATGACTGGGACCTTTTTACGAAAATGTTTTCTAATGTAAAATAAAAGATCAAAGAATCGAAGAATTAACAATTGAAATATTGTGAAAATTTTGAGAGACGGAAGTTTTAGAATGTTATCTAGACATACTTAAATATATCACTATTTAAAGTGTCGACACGGATTACGTACGTTACATAACTCATTACCGTTTATGCATAACTATTTGTCATGCACCGGCAAAAATGCAAAAAATGAAACCGTGCGTTTTTTTTCATTGGAGTCGGATATAATTAAATCCCGATATACTGTATCAGATACTACGATGCGTGAACATGTGACTTATTCGAAGTGCATCAAATTACGTAACTCGTGGCAGTCCCGAATCTCGATCTGTACACCCGTGTAAATAAATCGATCGAGTGTTGTTGATATCTCGAAAAAACATTTTTGATGTCTTCTTTCGCCTTTGATAACGATTTAATTTTTGATTTCTCGAATAATTCGGGTAAATGTCTTTTTATCGCTTAAGATTTTCCAACTTGCTTCTACTATCCTTTAACATGAAATAATAGCGATCATAGATGATTATCATACACCCTTTGAGGATCTAAGTGGTGACGGTAACTTGGTCTATTCTCGGTCCAGTTCAGAAGGTATTTCTTTCTCGAGTTTAAACCTCATATAAATACAGTGCTCGAAGGTCTTATTACTCCCGTCGAAAAAAGATATTAGCTCGGACGAAGAAATCCGGTCACAACATTCTTATGTGTACATTAGTTCGGATGAGGAACAACCTCGAATTTCTTCCACCCTACCCTTCAACTATTTTTCTTGTAAGTAAATATTGTCACCATTGCTTCCGAGAAGATACTTGTCAACTTTTTTATTAAAAATAAAAAATTGTACGTGCATTTAATTTCTAGTGAATCAAGAAGTAATTTTTGAAGTGCATGATGTTTTCGTAGAGCAGAAGTCGATAGGAGTTTTGCAAAACTACAAAGGATCACATCATTATGTTCCTAAACTCCGCGTCAAAAAAAGGTCGGTACCTAAGGAAATTCGCAAAAATAAAAAACCAAAGAGAACAGAACACCAAATTAAACAAAAACCTGAGGGGATAAAACGGAAGTCCAATGGAATAAAACGAGAATCCAGGGAGATTAATTGGGAACCCAAGGAGACAAAACGGGAACCCAAGGAGATAAAACGGGAACCTGGGGAGATAAAACGAGAATCCGAGGAAATAATCTCACTTCCTTCATCACTATCATCATCTTCATTGTCACCACTCTCATCCTCTCTCGCTTACAACCTGCGCATTAAAAGACAAGCCAACTTTCAACAACTCATTTTTCCATACAAAAGGTTTATTTGTGAAATTCCAAATTGCCGTTCAAACTTTAAATATCAAGCGCATCTGATACATCACATGAAAAATGTTCATTCGACATCAACAACTGCGCAACCACCTATTAGTGAGGCAAATTATGGACAACCATTGAGGGAAACCAAAATATCCATTAAGAATCCGGAATCTCACTCAAAACCGGTAATTAAAAAGATCAATTCAAAGTCGGCAACAACATCGAAAAATACAAATGTTTCCGCTCGGGAACAATTAAAGAAAAATTATTGTAGATTGTGTAAAAAACATTTTTCTAACGGTAGTAACCTAAATGCTCACTTTAGAAGACTTCATCCTGGTTTGCTAAATAGATTCTTGTGTTACAAAGGTAATTGTGTCAAAAGCTTTAGTAGCAAAAAAAATTTAGAGGCTCACATAAAAAAATTTCATTGAGCATAATAATAAATTTAAACGTCTCAATAATGTCTAATATCTTAAAGATTTTTTTTTTCTACGATAGTAATTCACTTTTCACGAAATTAAGATGTATATACAAACTAATAATAAACTAGAATGTAACTTTTAAATTCATGTTATTCGGATTAAATTTTTAAAATTGATATTTTTAAATAGAAAAAGGGAAAAAAAAATTTTTTTAATAGAAAGTGTATCAATATATTGGGGTTAAATAAATACTTCAAGGAGTTGGTCTATTAATTTATTTCTTCATTTTGTAAATTTATCCGCACATTCTCTCTAGGTTAACTTCAAAGCTTTCTATACCAAATAGAGGCTTTAATAAAAAAACGGATCCGGTCATGTGATTAATTGAAGCATGTAATTAGGTAAAAACATAACACTGGATATCAGATTTGAAGCATGAAACTGAGCTTGTCTTTCAAAGAAAATTTTGATATCATATTCAAATTTGTTAAAAAGGATGCTAGGGATGAATATAATGAGTCCTGTTTTGTTTTTTGTTTTTTTTTTATTTTATTTACAATCATATCACAATGGTTTGTTTTTATTAGAATACTAAAAAGATATCAAAACTATCACAAAGTGACTAAATCATTATTGTACATTATTAATTGAAAGACTATACTACTTAAAAAATATGAGAAGTCTACAAAATTAAGTCTCAATTAAATATTTTAAGTTGGATTTAGAAAACAATATTACAAAAAATATAAAAAATCTACAAAATTAAGTCTCAATTAAATATTTTAAGTTAGATTTAGAGAACAATATTACAAAAAATATAAAAAAAGTCTACAAAATTAAGTCTCAATTAAATACTTTAAGTTAGATTTAAAGAAAAATATTTCATTCTTCCAATAATTTAATATCAAGATATTTAACTATCAGGATTATTATCAATAGTTTGTCACTATTAATTGTTTCAAAAAATAATAAATTATTAAAGTAACTAAGAAAGAAGATAAAAAAAAACAATTCAAAACTTTTTTAAAAGATTTTTTTATCTATTTGATAATATCTTTACAAAAGAAATTTAATTAATTAAAATATTCTTTATACTTCATTTAAGTCTTGAAAAGAAATTTTTTCTTTGGCACTATTTATAACATTATAGATAAATCTATTCTTTAAACAAGTATTAAATTGAAATATTTTAAGAAAAACAAAGGATCTTAACTCTTTTTTCTTAAAAAATTTTTTTCATCATTTACGAAACTTAAATGAAAAAAAAAGTCAGACTATTTATATTATTTCTTATAATATTTTTTAATATTATAATTATATTATTAGAAAACTTGCTCAATTAAAAATAAATATCTTTTAGAACTTTTTTTCTATATTATTACTAATGTTATTAAATAATATGAATATATTCAATAAAAGTTTAATTATTTTTTATAAACTAATATATTTTGTATTAATCAATTACCTTTAATAAAAATTTATGTTACTCAAATTCAGGATTAAATTAAGATAGAAAAATTTCTCAAAAAACTAAGAAAGTAAAAGCTTTAAAAAAACTAAAACAGTTTAAAAGAAAAAAATAAATCTTTTAAATATACAAAACTTTTATAAATCTCTTGTTTCAAGAGTTGAAAAAATCATTAAATATATTTTTTTCTTTTTTTAAAAAATCTTTTTAACCATTGATATTAAAGATATTACTAGATTTTTTTTATTACTAAAAGTCAAGTTTTTGAATAAAGAGATTTATAAAGAATAAAAGAAATATATTATACTGTCTAAGAATTTATAAATCAATAAATAATATAAAAAGCAAACTATTTATGTCTTATCTAATTAAGATAGGATAATTATATAATCATCTAATATACAATAGATATTCTACTTATAAAACAAAAAAGGAATAATAATAGAAAGTATAAAAATTTCTTATATCATAATATCTATTAATCTATATGGATACTTTCTAGAGTCATAATAATATAATTTACTAAATAACTTATTATTACTTCTATAGTAT